CCAGAGCTCTTTCGTCAACCGGTTGAGTTCCGGTGATACGGTTCCTCCCAGTTTGTTGATGTAAGTCAGGGCAGTCGTGTTGTCCATCTTTAGATGGATCACAACATCTGTAGCATCCTTGGCATAGCTCTTGATCGCAAGGGATGCCGCCAGTAATTCCAGGCAGTTGATGTGCATGTGTCGTTCCTGTGGGGACCATGGTCCGCCTGTTCGAACATTGTTGAAAGATGCTCCCCAGCCTATTGTGGATGCATCTGTCTCTATCACCATGTCCGGCTTCGCCAACAGGAGTTGTTTCCCGTTCTTGTGAGACAGGTGATCCGTCCACCATGTCAGTTCCTCTCTGGCATCTGGTGACAGATGGCAAGGATGGGAGTACTCTTGATTCCCCTCCTCGAGAGACACTTGTAGACACCTCTGCAGGTGTCTGTAAAACAATGGTGCCGCAGCGATTGCTTGGGCCGCATGGTTCAGTTTGCCCAGAAATCTGGAAACTGCCAACGCCGTCAAGGCATCTGCTTGCAGTAGACTTTTCGCCTCGGACTTGATCTTCTTGATCTTGTCTGAGGGTAACTTCAGCTCCATCGTTGCGGAGTTCACTGTCAACCCGAGGAATTCTGTCTCCTGGGTTGGAATCACTTGGGATTTGGTTTGGTTTACTGTGAAACCCAAGTTTTCGAGTAGAAAGATCAGGCACATTGTGTGTTGACGAGCTTTCTCTTCGCTTTCTGCCAGAATCAGAATATCGTCTATGTAGATGATTACTCTCAGTCCGAGTGTCCTGAGAAAAACCATTATTGGCTTCGTGGTCTTGGTAAAGACCCATGGAGCCGACGACAGACCGAAAGGTAGGCAGTTGAACCGGTACGTCTTTCCCATCCACTGAAATTTCAGGTAGGATGTGTGTTCCGGCGTTATCGGGATCGCAAAGTAAGCGTCCTTTAGATCGACTTTCGTCATCCAGTCGCCCTGCTTTAGCAGGTCTTTGAGAGTGTGAATTCCTTCCATCTTGAAGGAAACTTTCCTCACAAAGGTGTTGAGACTCTTCAGATTTATTATTGGTCTCACACCCCCGTCCTTCTTCGGGACTGCAAACAACTGAGAAATGAATTCTTTCTCTTGTTTCTTCATCTGTACTTCCGTAACAGCATGTTTCTCTACCATCTTTTGCACTTCTAGTGAAAGACAGTTCATCTCTTCCCCGGAAAAGACTATTTCGTGGGGCGGTTTCACTTGATGGGGTTGAGCAATCCAATCTATTGCATACCCTTGCACACAATCCTGTACCCAACGGTCGGATGTGAGAACTTTCCAATTTTGAATGAAAAGTTGTATCTTCCCTGCAGGGGGAGGACTCTGTAAGGCTATGCTTTGAGCCATGTCCACAAAACCCAAGTCCTTCAGGCACACCATAAGCGGAGATTGAGACATATTTGGAAGAAATTTTATTTCTTTCAAATGATTCATGAGGAGGCACTTCTGGTCCCGCTGATGCTCGTGTGCTGGACTTGGACTTGTTGGAGCTGGATGTCACTTGGCAGAGTCCGAGGACTTCTTGCTGCTGCCGTGGCTGAAGCTCGAATTGCCTGCGTAAGGCTGGTACCGTCCTCGTCCCCTGAATCCTCCACGGGAATTGCGGGAGTCCCGGTGAAAAACCGGCTGGTGGCTCTTGAAACCGCTCGGTTTCTTGGCAGGAGCTGACTGGGTATGGGTCTTGCTGGCTGCAACGCTGTTCAGCACCCGCATCTCGTCATCACGCTCCTTCGCCTTCTTGTAAAAGCCGTCGCCAAACAAATGTTGACGGGCTTCGGTAAAAATGGAGTCATCCTCAGCCATATCCGCAATGCGGGGGTTCAGACTAGAGAGGGCAATTTGACGGCGTTCCCGATTACATTGGGCCGAAAAATTCCCGAGGAGTTTTACTGCTGACTGTACAGCCTCCAATATCTCGCAAGCAGAGATATCCCCACTCTCTGCTCCCTCCAACACTCGAGTTAGGGGACCAACGGCGTCCAGGCCCAAGCTTTGCAGGCGCGCCAATTGTTTGTCTCGAGACTTTGTCTCATTGGACATCCTGGACTTCATGACTTTGTCAAGTCCAGGACAAGCCGAGTGTGGACAGTTTGGGGCACCAAACTTGTCACGAATTTGTCGCCTGCTCGGATTCGGCAAGGCGGAACAAAAACTCGACTTCAACAAACCCATAGTTGAATCAGACACAGGAAAAAGTTTGACCCCTTTGGAGTCCAACTCTTCCGTCTCTTTCTCCATTTCCTCCATCACACTGCTATCATCCGGCCATGACTTGGAGCTTTGCTCCTTGTATGGTGTGGACGTGCCGAGGAATGAGACAGTCGAAGGATTTTGTCTTTGACTATCCTCGATTCTCGTTACACGATCAGCAATGCTTTGCATGCTGGCTTGGATATTTTCCAGGATTCCAACCATCTCGCTGGACGGTGTAGACGACGTCTCCATACCAGTATCCATAACTAGAAGAAGTACAAAGACTAAGAAATGTTTCAAAACTGAAAAGGTACAAGACGTACAAAAACGCAGCCGTCACTCAAGGCGAGCTAGAAAAAAGGCCGAAGAGCAAGTGTGGAACGGACAGTTTCGACAACAAAAAAATGTGCGCTTTCCAAGATGCCAAAGGGCATGCGCACAAAATAAAACACAAAATTCACATAAAACATGTAAAATACACTACAAACTAGCTGTCAAGTTAGAGAATTAGGCCAAACACGTTGATATGGAGACAGAGCATTCTGAAATATAATTTCGCACCTCCTGATGTAGAGGGAAAGTTTGTACGCATTTTCGTTTTGCAGAACCTCTCTAGTGACTCATTGGTTTCATACGAGACGAGTCAATGAGTTGGTGTGGCTTAGAATCTTTCGTTGTAGAAGAAATCTATTCGTATGTCTATTGGAGAAATAATTGTATTCACTGGTTATAAAATAGGTTAAGACAAACTCACAGAATAAATACCATCGGTCCCTTGGTGTTCGTCCTAAAGAGGTTCGACTGGATATCATTCAAACTCACCAAAAGATGTGTAAGATTTTATTATTATGGAGTGCCTTGTTTATTTCTCAGTACCTCCAACCATAGCCTTGCCCCTTTTATCCTCAGGATCAGTGTAGTTGTTGGAACGATATGTCGGACTCGACAATGTATTTGTTTACATTTTAATACATGTTTATTGTTCCTCCTTTGCTGTGTTGTTTTAGAAAATCGTGGACTATCAGTTTGAAGTCATTGAACTACTTCCAAAAGTTGTATCGACATCAACAGGGTTACGATTTCAGTGCAATACGATGCAGGATGACCTTATCACGATAACCCATGATTACAAACCATTATAAACACAGAATCAACAAAAACATCTGCGACACGCACCTGGTTACATTTCTCAAATAAATCTGAAATACCTGAAAGGCAAGACAATTTTATGACAGAGTCATGAAATTCTGCTACAGCAACATGCACAGAATGACCTCCGTATAAAAAGAAGTATCACCACGGTCCACCACAACTCACATGTTTCCCCGCAGAAGAACATGCTTGTGCCATTTTCTGCAAGAAAAGGCTTGCACATCAATGCGTATAATACAGTATTGATATGATGTGAAGGCCATCATTTACATGTTGATATAGGGCATTCCATTGATTGGTGACAGAAAAAACAAAAGAAATTATAGCAATAAAAACTGCTTTATGGCAGTTTTCTAAAAAAAGTTATTGTGTTCTAGTCCATGGACCCCGTCTAAAAAGTAAGAAATTAACAAAATGTGATAGCTGAAAATTAAAATTTCACACAAAACCTCACAATAATCACACACAGAATGAAAAGCTACATGTAGAAGACCTTTTCCCCTCGTGATCCTCTTTCCTTTGCATGCATGACATGCATGTTGCCAATTGTTGGTGCAGTACAAGTCTAGTGTTGAAAGCAGCATTTCAAGTGTTGTGATTATTGTGAGGTTTTGTGTGAAATTTTAATTTTCAGCTATCACATTTTGTTAATTTCTTACTTTTTAGACGGGGTCCATGGACTAGAACACAATAACTTTTTTTAGAAAACTGCCATAAAGCAGTTTTTATTGCTATAATAACTAGTGCGTAGTGGTGGGTGCTTTGCCATTTTGTGTAAAATAAGCCCGTGAATGGACGAGGAGGGCAGTGAATTGCTTCCGCAGGGCCTTTGGACGACGTCAGGCCGTCTTGCCATCACTAAAGACAATAATGAAGAACAGTAGGTCACGGAATACACTCTGTGAGAACGAAAACATGGCTGCAATGCTATGCTACCTATCCAATTCTACCGTATGACACAGCCTCTACACGTTGTAGTTACAAATACAAAAACACAGCTTTCGCAGCATACAATGCAGCTGACAGATAAATTTTCATCCACTAGCAATCCTTGAAGTGATATCTATCAACTTCAGAACATTGATGACCGAGTATCCCAGTTTGTGATGCCATTTTACAAATTTGTTATTAAAAATGACACACCAATTATTTGAATGCTGAGAATACTATGAAAGTAGGACATGATTCAAGACACTTTCCAAAGTGGGATCATTCCCATTTTTTTAGACAACGGGCATGAAGGATAGCACTTCCACTTGGAACAATTCATTTGGACATAGCTTGCCTAGAATTAGAAGTGGCTGAACAAACGTCAACCATCATCCGGTTACTAAAAGCCAAATCACCTCGTACCCTGTAATGTTATGTGTGAGTGATCCGCTGTCGAGTGTCGGAGTCTGCGAGTGCTTACAAATACAATGGCGTAGAAAAATTAAAAAATATATATCCTAAAAAAATATCCAGAATCATGCGCGCGCTTGATTATGACGTTGCATGCGGTCGACGATTGACTGGGCCATGACGTCAGTGCAGGGCAGGGGCTGGCCATGCCATTCATGCGTGCAAAGGCCGCATATAAAAAGTCGTTCCGAAGCGAAAAGGAAAGAAACGAAAATGCGAAACCGAATGAAAATACAGTGTACTGCAAACATGTACAGCCAACACAGAGTCTAAACGTTGTAAACAGGTCGATCGAATAATTGCATGTGGCCTTTTCTTGAGGAGTGATCCATTTAGGCTGTTCCTGTAGTCTTGGATCAATGGACGATGCAGGTAGCGATGAGCAGCGAGACTACGCGGCCTTCCTTGAGGCATATTCAAGTAAGGGACAGAATATTCAAATGCATGATTTTAGCACTTCTGTAGAACAGGCGTTGAGGTGATTTAGCACTCGTTTCAAATATGTGTGTGCCTTAAACTGGTGATTGCTTCAGCACTCGTTCACGTATGATTTTAACCCCTGTGCCATTGTGCCATTGTGTGTGTGTGTGTGTGTGTGTGCGCTCGCGTGTGTGTGTATGTGTGTGTGTGTGTGTGTGTGTATGTGTGTGTGTGTGCGCGCGCACATGTGCTCGTGCGTGTAAGCGTGTGCGCATATGTGTGTGCGCGCGTGTGTGTGTGTGCGCGCGCGCGCACGCGGTCCTGTCCTTGCCTCTACTCTCTACTGTATGTGTGCGCGTGCCTGCAGAGCCCACGCAGATCTACAGCTATTTGAAGCATCGGCAGAAAAACAACGTAAGCTGCTACTTGATGGAGATGGCAATGCGCGGTCAACCTGGCAAATAAATAATGACCCATTCGCTAGACCTTCCATAGCCAATTACATGCACAGTGTTGCTCCACAAAATCCAGTCGCGTCACTCAAGTGTTCACCTTGCATCATTCCCCAAGCCAGTGTTTGCAGGTCTACGGCTGCGCAATGCCCGACGTGTACTTCAGCGACGCGACTGGATTTCATTGAGCAACACTGCACATGTACAACCGTTTGACTGCACACGTTCAACCTCCCGAAAAACGACAACTCGGGGGAATAACGACACTTTTCTCTTTCACGGCCGAGGGTCGTTATTCGCAGTGCTGACTGCACAGTACAAGTGCCACGAATCACACATGTACGTTCACCTGTCCTGTCCTGAACATTGCCGTTTCCGGTTACATGTCCCCTCGTGTGAGGGGCCGACAGGCATGGAGAGTTGGGTTGAGGCGCTGTGTCGCATCAATGTCCTAGCGAGATTTCCTAGCCATTTCATTGATTCATTTGTTGCAGTTGTGTAGCTGGAATCCTTGGGTTAACTTGCAACAACGATCGCATTGGCTGCAGTGGGCTCTGCAGCAAGGTAGGGCGAGCCGCTGGCGGGTGTCACACGATGGTCCAGCAGTGGTGGCTTGGCCGTGCACTGGAGTAGCAGATGGGGGCATATCCAGGCATTTGTGGACGGCCAGTCCGCCAGGGCTGCGAAACCAGCGAAGACATGCGGTGCATTGCCTGCTGCCAGCCTGGTCTGCTACGGGTTTGCGACGCTCTTCAGTGCACTTGTGGCGTGGCAGGCCGCTCTTCGAAAAGGATCTGTTACAGATACTGCACTTAATCCGTTCACGAGAGGCCGGCTGTGGTGGTGAAGCAGTTCTGAATGCTGTGCGCCACTCTCCCCGCTGCTGCGCGGTGTCGAACCAATCTCCTTCCAGATGGAGGTGACGGATGTCAGTTCGGATGGCATCACGCCAACGCTTTCGGGGACCACATGCAGGGCGTGTAGGTAGCAGTGACCCGAATAACAGCTGGCGAGGGGTGCTGTCGTCGTCCACCTTGGCAACGTGGCCAAGCCACTCCATCCGCCGTCGAAGCAGGCGAGTTGGGATATCGTCCTGCTTGGTGTCATTCCAGATCGCCAGGACTTGGGTGTTCGTTATTCGGTCACTCCAGACTGCCTGTCGGGTAATTCCAAGAATCGACCGAATGCAGCCGAAGTGAAAAGTAGATAGGGCGGTGATGTCCTGCTGCAGAGGTACCCAATATTCGGAGCAGTACAGCAGCAGTGACAGTGCGCACGCTTCATAAACCACACGTTTCGTAGCAATGGACAGGTTAGCATCCATGAAGACCGAGCGACGGAGTACACCAAAAGCCCGTGATGCCCCTGCAGTGCACGACTTGATGTCTTGGGAGGAGCGGCCAGTAGTGTGTACCAATGAACCAAGATAGCGGAACTCCTCGACACTCTCGACAGTGTTCCCTGCCACTAGTAGGGGAAGCCGGTCGGCGGGTGTGATACCATAGCCAACTGGCATGACCTTTGTTTTGGCGAGGTTCACCTTGAGACCAAAGACGGCAGCTATGTCCATAAAGATGGTCTCACATACAGACAGTCATCGCCAAAAAAGGCCTGGTCATTGTCGATACCGTGGATACGGGCAGTGGTATTGTAACCATGGATACGGACAGTGGTATGGTAGGTAGATCTACGCGTTCACCGACGCTGCTTCATGCTGGCAGGGATGCATGCACTCACTGACCAGCACGGCACTGAGAAGTATGCAGTCGAATAGTAGCACTGCACTGAGTCAGGCGCTCCCCGGTAGCAGCAGCAGCAGCAGGGCATAGTCATTGCATGTGCCGTGCACTGCCGGTGGTGGCTAGTAGTGGCTGTGTATGCGGCCCACGATGCACCACTGTACACCTAGCATAGCGTTGGCCGGATTGTTTTGGTGACGACTGTAGCACCTGCACATTGTACTGTATCAACGATCAAGTATGTTCACTTAGGCCGTCATCACACTACGTTCTCTGGCTCCCGTTCACGTCTACGTCTACGGTGAACATCCGAAACGGGTGGTCGTGTCATCAAACTTGCGCCGATCTTGACCCGTACACTCAGTCACATATTTGGAGAAATTTGAAAATTGAAACACATGTACAAGGTCACCTGGAAAAAAAGACTGGGGGACATACGCACGTTCATCCAAAAAAGTTGTATACCCCCCTCCCCCTCTCCCTACCACGTCTACATTTCCCGTTTCCTCTGCTCCCATTTTCACTTCGTACATGGATTATCATGGCAACCGACCAAAAACTTCTAACGTGGACATGACGCAGCGCTTTGTACCGTAGTGTGATGACAGCCTTAAGGTGGCGGGGCGGCACAACTTTTTGGGGGTAAATTTGACTTCATTTTTTGAGTTTATCGGCAAGGTGGAGATGCGATTTGAAAAAGGTTTAATGAATGGTCCGTGTTATTTATCCACGGACCTTTCATAAAACTTTTTCAAATCTTGTCCAAAAGTAAAACTAAAGCTATACGAAGTCGGAGTGAGTTCTTCTCCAGAGATTCACTGAAAAACGTTTTCAAATTTCATCTCTAACTTGGCGATAAACTAAAAAATGCAGTCAAAATGTAATCAAAAATGACCCCAAAACGTTGTACCGCCCCAGCCACCTTAAAGTGACTTTTCATCCCTCTGCATCCGCAACTGCAGTGCTGTTCAATGAAATCCGATCGTGTCGGGGCAAGTTTGCGCCCTGCACCAGCTCACCATCCCACTGCTCGCGGGTCTAGGGCTGCACAGCGCCCGTTCAGCGGCATAGACTCGCTTAATCGGATGTCAGTGAGCAGCATTGTGGTACAATGATGTAGTGTACGGCACGTTTGCGCCGCTGCCTCATTGTTTTGTGCGCGGCTTTCTTTCTCCCGTTTGCTTTGCCCAGCCGGTGTTTCTGCACCGTAGTCTTTCCTACTTGCAAGTGTCCAACAGAAAGCCACTTCGACGAAGGTAAGGTTTTCCACGCGGCAGAAAAATGCGCCATGACTTTCTAGCTCCGCTAAGGTTACCAGTGAGCACGGATTTGACAATGCACTTTATCCGGACCTCGAAGTCACGTGCACCTCGGTCTACCGGGTTCACTGTGGGCGAGTTTGAGTGGAAATATTACTACTACAAGCTTTGTGGAAATAATAATAGTGACATCACAACGTAGAAATTCAGACTCGATGTGCTGGATTGTGCACATTTTCATCCTGGACTGGCAAGTATTGTGTACAGCAGTGCATGCGTCGGTTCAACATCGTATTACGGTTGTATACGCCGAAGTCGCTTCACAGGTAGAAAATCGACAGGGGGCGGGAATTAGAGAGGGGGCGGATCAACGGTACTTTACGGTATATACTCTTGCTGGCACTCACTTCCCCATCAAAACGTACATGTACGTGATGCAGAGTCACATGGTAGGTTCGGAGTTACGAATATTTATTTCCAAGTTATGAAGAGTGCCCGGTCCCGGACCGTCCAGATAAGAGAAATATGAATGTGGACAGTACATGTAATGTTGTTTAGCATTGGCTTTTTTGTTGTCGGCACGTGTGCTTCTGCCAGGAATATACCGGGATCCGCAGAGAGAGTATGTTCTGCACTGCTGTCGACGCGCCAGCAAATCAACTGGCAACGAGTCCGGTAAGCCACCGTGTTTATGTACACGTTTCGTTACCGTGGCAAATTGGTTTGGTGTTACCATGGTGACTCGGACGCATTCTCGCTGCCCCGATGAAAAAAACTGTTTTGCGAAAATCTCTTGATCTATGCATCAGTGGGTGGTTTTGGGGTGGAGCGGTTTGTTGCTGTCGTGGCAAAGAAATATTGTCACTTGATACACTGATTGCTGTTCCAGTATGAACATAGCATCCTGCAATTGTGTAACTTCATACTTACCTGGCACAGGGGACGCCGTGATCAACAAGGCGGCTCCCTCAGGATGAGGCCTCTCCACTGCACTCCGTTGGGGCTGAGGCTTGCGATTTCCCCAAACGTGGGAAACTCGGGTGCACAATTTATGGTAGAGGGGGTTTGCGTTCGCGCAGCCCCTGTTCTATATATCAATCAAAAAAAAGTGATTATTGGGAAGCTTCTTTCTCTGTGCTATATAGATGAAAGAAAAGAGAATACTCTATTTAAAGGCCTTGTTTACATGAGGCATTTCAACCCGATTTGAGTTCGACCTGGGTTTCAACTCGCCATGAACACAGATCGACTGGTGCGGTTATATGACGCAGTTGTAGCAAGTATTACTTCACTGGGGGCAGGGGTAACTGCAGTTGGATCCCAGGACAGATACCCTGATGCCGGCAATCCCTTTTCTGTGCCTTGTCCTCACCCACTTACTGAGGTGTGGTGAGCCCATAAGTGGGATCGTTTCCAACTCCACCCAGAGTTTGGGATTTCAAGGGGTGTCGGCCATTGGGCGGTTCAATAGCCAATTTGAGTCATCTTTCCAAGATTCCTTTTGAATCTCTTTCCCCTCTTCGGGGGAGACTCGCGTGACCAGTCATGGTTGTGAGCAAGTACAAGTGTGTGTATGTGTGTGTGTGTGTGTGTGTGTGTGTGTGTGTGTGTGTGTGTGTGTGTGTGTGTGTGTGTGTGTGTGTGTGTGCACCTGCTAGGTTCTTCGGGCCGTGCCATGCATCAATCACTGAGCTACGCGGTCTGGAAGGTGAGCGGTGTGTGCTTTTCGCGCTGGCAATCCAGCCGCTGTGTTCACTTTGTCAGCCGCTGTTTTAATGTAACTTGTTGTCAGTCGCTGTATTGGCCACTGTGTTGACTTTGTCAGCCGCTGTGTTGTCTTTGTCTGCGGCGTGAGCTCAGTGTTATACACTGCTACAGTACTGTTGGTCACCGAAGAACTGGGGGGGGGGGGGTCAGCCTCCTAGCCTCCTGGCCTAGACCGTTCTTATTTTCATGTACTGCAGTCTATGCATAGTTTATGACGTGTATACATTGGTATGCTGTGCTTGGTGAAATTCTAGCCTGGCCGTTCTTCGGCGCCCGCCAGTACTGTATGGCTGTGGGCTGGTATGGCTGCCAGTCATTCTGCTAGGTGAAAATAGTTAACCCTTTAAGAGCCGCTCCATACTTGAATGCGTCGTAAACGACGCATTCAAATGCAAAACTTCAAAAGATCGTAACTCAGTCCAATCTCGCTCAAATCCAGTGATCGAAATATCCAGGGCGAAGAGAAAACTCTCACCTGTCGGGAGAAACAATCCGCGAAGCGCTGCGAGCAACGGTTCCCGAGATAAATCACTCGTAAGTTGAGCCGCGATCGCGGCAATTTCAAAAGCGCGCAGTGCGACTTTAGTATTGAGAATTTTGAGACTTTTCGTTACGCTGGTTTACTCGAATTTGCACGGGTTTCACTGTTGATATTGTCAAGAGTACATAGCGAAAAAATTGGAACTCCACGATCGATCACGATCGAGTAAAATGAAATATCTGGTGCGGGACGCAATTGGGCGCATTTGGGGCATTTTTCGTACTGTCGCTGCGATCTAGCGCTGGATAGACGGTGTGCTGGCTATCATGATCGACCTCATTCTCTTCCTCTCGCGGAGACCGTTCCAAGAAGCCCTAGATTGTGAGGATTGAGTGAGTAGAACTGAAGCTATGATCCAAGGAACACGAAAAAATGCAGAATTTTGAAATTTTCCTGTGGCTCTTAAAGGGTTAACCCTTTTTAGAAGTTTGGTTCTAGGCAAAGTTTGAACTGAGCAAGTGCATAATATTATACATGTGCCGAAATTTGCGGGGTCAGAGACGCCCAGGTCACATGTGTCCGGTAGACGTGTGTAGGGTACTAATAGACTAGACTCACTTGCTGTCTGAGTCCAACTCTTACCCGCTGTGAGCTTGGGAGCGCCAGGGGTAGAGAGCTATTACTTTCCTTTCCCTGTGTCTGTAGACGTGCTCCTGGCCAAGTGTGGTGTTGATACAGCCCACGTAAACATAGCTATGACTTTCCTTTCCCTGTGTCTGTAGATGTGCTCCTGGCCAAGTGTGGTGTTGATACGGCCCACATTGACATATCTCTTGTCAAACGCTCAACAACAGCAGCAGCAGCACATCTCGAAGAGGTAACTAGATAACAGTTAGTGCGCTGCAAGACGGGTGACGGAGGCTTGGTTTATTTACATGAGAGTTCTAAGCGCGCCGTGAGAAGAGACAGGTTGCTTTGGAGTGTTAGTTAACATGATGTTGCATCGTGCTTGATCCGCCGGTGTGACTTCAGCTGTCCTCCTAGCGCGGCGGTTGCAATCAGTCGAACGTACATGTCGATGTACACGGTGTAATTCACTCAGTACATGCACATGTACTCTGATAAGACCCCGGAGGATGCACCCAGTGTTGTCTGGTGATTGCAAAAGCATGAAACTGTAAGTAGCGACAAAACAAGCCTCGATTGCCCGCAAGTTGTAAACAAGGGAGCTTTAGTGTTGGTCACGCTCTATATTTGAGGCAGTACCATGGGATAAAATTTAATGGATTATACCATTCGTGCTTTAATGGCTGTATACCGTGTCCCTCATATTTTCCCTTGTGCTAACACACTCGTGAACATAGTCGGCGGTATACCGCTCGTCCTCATGGTGTAATCCATACGTAACGCTTGTTCCCTACAGCAGAGCCTGGTCACCACTAGGCGAGGGATAGTTTGTGAACGGCTACTTGCAACTACTGTAAATATACAAATTTTCGGCAGCTATTTAATTTCGGCTATATTCGGCACCGACCCAAAACGCCTAAATTAAAACGCCGATGAAAATTTTCACAGCATCTGTCGCAATACCATGCCCTCTACCCCACGCCGAAAATAAATCGCCGCCGAAATGTCAAAAATCGTGAAGTGCCGAAATTTTGCAGCGCCGAAATTTTGTATATTTACAGTATTGTAATGAAAAGGCGACGAGGAGACAATAACTTTATTAATGCGATTAATAGTATAAGTGAAGCGGACATTACAAAATGATGAATGAGAATACATGTATCTAAAATGGTTGTTCCTAATCGATTTTCTTGAGACTATCATCAGGGAAAATCGTCTCACAATAGAGGCTATACGGAGAAACAAACTACTTATAGGTTAATGGATAGTGGGGAGTATACAAGGTGAGGTGTGAAAAAAAACTAAAGTGGGAGAGAAGACGAAAGAAATTAGAAAATTGGGTGCAGAGGACGGGATGGAAGCGGAGGAGGATGAGGAAGGTGAGAGCAGTGATGAAGAGAGTGAGTTGGACAACCAAGATGAAGATGACCGGACTGAAGGTGAGACCACAACGAAAGGGTCAGCCATTAAGAAACACCTCTTGTCTAGTAGCCAATGCCGCTCAGTGTATGATGATTCATGCTTCACTGTTTTGTGTCGTGCTCGTAGGTTTCGTGAACTTAAGGTATTAGAAGCTGTTTTCATCCGTAAACACAATCCTAATCTATGCATTCAGAAAGAAAATGTCACAAAACTGAGACTCTTCACCTAGCATTCACACACGTATTCATTCGCATACACCTACACCTCACAGTTCCTCACTCTATCACATTCACCTGCTTCCACGCCTTCATTTCACTCACCTTTTGTAGTAGCTCACACCGTCAGAACACTCTACATCTTTTCTTCTAATTTCTTTCGTCTTCTCTCCCACTTTAGTTTTTTTTCACACCTCACCTTGTATACTCCCCACTATCCATTAACCTATAAGTAGTTTGTTTCTCCGTATAGCCTCTATTGTGAGACGATTTTCCCTGATGATAGTCTCAAGAAAATCGATTAGGAACAACCATTTTAGATACATGTATTCTCATTCATCATTTTGTAATGTCCGCTTCACTTATACTATTAATCGCATTAATAAAGTATTGTAATGAGGAGTCTAATGAGAACGTCGGGACAATTCTACAACAATGTGTGCGCGTGTGTGGGTGTGCGTGTGTGTGTGTGTGCGTGTGCATGTGCGTGTGTGCTTGTGTGTGTGTGTGTGTGTGTGGTGTATTTGTGCAGGATGGTATTTGCCATGTCGTATCACTGGGATCGCTTGTGGCGCCTTGCACGTGGAAAGATGCGGGAGAAACGCCTCCTGCCAGCCAAGGTTTGTGCGTGTGTGTGTGTGTGTGTGTGTGTGTGTGTGTATATGTGTGTATCAACTCGGAGTCCTTCGCGAGGCCTTGCAAGCCCGCGAGTGGAGCAAACAACCGCACGAAGACGACGACTTGGAACGACTCTGAGCATTGGCTCATGGAATGTTCGCTCTGCTGTGGAGAGTGATGGACCAGTTCAAGCGGCAGCCGTGAGAGGAATCGTCTCCGATGATAAGCCAGATCCATAGCTGCCAGAGATGGCTCTCTCGAACATGGTCCCTGAGTCCCTGACCTACTACCTCTCTCTGAGCGGACTGCCGTTGCTCGTCATTCCATATTGTTGGCCCCGCAAGGGGACACGTGACCGTAATGGCAGTGTTTACCAGGACCAGGTGTGTGTGGGTGCGTGCGTGTGTGTGTGAGAGAGAGAGAGAGAGAGAGAGAGAGAGAGAGAGAGAGAGAGAGAGAGAGAGGAGAGAGAGAGAGAGAGAGAGGAGAGAGAGAGAGACCTACAACAGGATTTTGAGTGAGGGAGACAGAGACATAGAGAGCACGAGAGAGGATGAGAGAGAGAGAGAGCATAAGAACGATTGGCACATTGTGGAATTGCAAAGCACATGACTGTACTAATTTAAACCAGCTCAGGTCCGTATTAATGACCTGGTCTTCCGTTTCTTGTATTATTCGTATTTGCTGTTGTTTTAGCAGCTAACTGTGCGGCTGGCAGCTCCTCGTCTTCACTTTCATCTCCATCCTGCTCCGTCGATCTGACTTGTAACACTGACATTCTGCCCGAGCGGCTACAGGACATCGTGGATGACCCTCCGTCTAAGGACGAGTGCTGGTGTCTTGTGTTCAAGGTAATAGTGGGTGTGTTGTGCGTGTGTGTGTGTGTGTGTGTGTGTGTGTGTGTATGTGTGTTAGTCTTTTGTGTGTGTGTGTGTGTACGTGTGTGAGTGTGTGTGTGGGGGGTGGGTGTGTGTGTGTGTGTGTGTGTGTGTGTGTGTGTGTGTGTGTGTGTGTGTGTGTGTGCGCGCGCACGCACGCATATGTGTGTGTGTGTGTGTGTGTGTGTGTGTGTTTGTCTTTTGTGTGTGTGCGTGTTCGTGTTTGTCTTTTTGTGTGGGTGTGCGTGTACATTTGGGTGTGGTAGTGCATGTGGGTGTGGGTGTGTCTGTGTGTTTATGTGTGCGTGTGTGTTTGTTTGTTTATTTGTATCTAGTTAAGTTGGTATGTACACTTATGCCAGATAGTGTTGGGTCTGTTGCTAACGGCCTCGGCTGCTTGAAGGTGTATTGTTGTACCTGCCACCTTTGTTGGCTTCAGGTTTCATACTTTCTATTTGAAGTATACATACCTGTTAACCATGGACTACTTCTGGCTAGATTAACTCTTGTGTAATCAATGGTGCTGGTGAAGCTTATATCAGATCCACTCTGATTTAGCCACCCACACTAGTAGCAAGTATTACCTTCACTGGGGGCAGGGGTAACTGCAGTTGGGTCCCGGGACGGATACCCTGATGCCGTCAATCCTTTTTCTGCACCTTGTCCTCACCCACTTACTGAGGTGTGGTGAGCCCGTAAGTGGGATCATTTCCAAATTCACCCAGAGTTTGGGGTTTTCAGGGGATGTGAGCCGTTGGGCGGTTCAATAGCCAGTCGAGTCATCTCTCCGAGATTTGCAGCGGACTTTATGGTACGTGTACATGTATATGTGTATGTGCTTGTGTGTGTACATGTGTGTGTATGACTGTATTTGTTTGTGATCAGGTCTCCTTTGTCCCGGATGCGGACACCATCGATAGCCTGCTCCCCGTCAGGCGACCAGTCGGACACCCTGTTCACTCGCACACAAATCCCTCGCAGCAGCAGCAGCGCTCACATACTGCCAGTCCTACTCCAACCAGTGCAGATACAGCAGCGGCAGCAGTGGTCAGTGTAGGTGCGGCATCAACAGCAACGACATCAGCCGTGAGAGATGCGTCAGCGTCCCCGCAGCGTCACCTTCGCTCTCGCCAACGCTCTTCGTCGGCGTCGCCACCGCCACCGCCAATCCTACACGTGGCCAGCGGCACGGTGATACGGCATTCCACTCGCTCCGGCAGCGCCATCGCTCCCGTCAAGTCCGCAGGGGCGTCAGGCGTGCGCAAGTCGCAGCTGCGGTTCACTCGCCGCGATCAGTCCCCGCCGCCGCTAATGCTCACCGCCTCCGTGCAGCCGAGCGGAGACAGGGCCCCCCGGGCGAGCGCAGCGTACACCAAGCCGCTGGGTCGCACCGCCAGTGGTGGTGCTGCCGGAGTTAGCAGCAACCCCGTCGCCCGCGCTCTGCCGTCGCTACTCCCGGCGAGCGCCGCCGTTGCCACGGCATCGCCGCCGGCGGGCGTCTCGCGGAAATCCCGCGAGCTCCGGAACCTGGCAATGGACGACTGCTTCACCGCTCAGCTCCAGCAGAGTGCCGCCGCCGCCTCCGCTGCTGCTGCCAGTGCAGCAGCAACTGGGCCATGCTTGCAGCGAACCAAGTCGAAAACGAGCATCAAGTGCGACTCCATGTCCGGAAAAGGTAGGTTTTGCGCCTTTGTGGACGTTTCTTCACTTCACTATTCTGCTTATCGTTGTGTAGTGTTTACTGTGTGAACATTCGAACTGTGTTCATAGCTGGCGCGCGCGTGTACACGTGAAACCACATGTCCGTGCTTATTTTGCTGGCTTCGGAGGGCCATCATGCGTATGGAAACGCGCTGAAATGGAAATTCCAACTTCCAACTCCTTGTTCAGCGTGTATCAGATGCGTACTGGCGTACGCACCAGTCGCTTTGACTGGCGGGGTCGAAATATTTGTACTCCAAGGCATCACACGCCCTAAAAAAACACGCCTCCAATTGCTGTTTTCTGTGAACGCCTGACGGTGCGTTGGGCATATATGAGCCGGAAACGTAGCGCGTGTAATTGTGTTGTTTCTGCGCCATAGGTACTCCAGACAACGGTGCCAGTTCGAATCCAATCGCGGTGCATGGTACGGGAAGTGATCAGGAGAAGATTGCGGCTCCGCAGCGAAGGCAGCGGCAACAGCCAGGAGCTGCTCTCGAGTCGGTGTGCTTCAAAGCCGAGGTGAGCATTGCTTAATTTATAGGAAGAAGAAGGACCAAGGAACTACAAGTTTAAATACGCTATAATGTCCACTAACACCACCGGTTACTTGACAATCAGCTCATGCGATAACATTGCACGACACTGACCCAACGTTACTGACGCTGAGCTGAGCTTGTTTTTCAGCTACATTGTATGCTCACAGCGGCGGTGCAGAAGTGCAGTACAGCACTGTGGGGCGCCGAAGAACGACCAGGCTAGGATTTCACCAAGCACAGCATACCAATGCATACGTGGTAACACAACTGTGCCTAGCCTGTTCTGTACAGTACTGTCGGTCGCTGAAGAACTGGGCGGTCAGCCTCCTAGCCTAGACCGTTCGTATTTTCATGTATTACAGTCTATGCGCAGTTGAGTCACCCTGTATACATTGGTAGACTGTGCTTGATGAAATTCTAGCCTGGTCGTTCTTCGGCGCTCGACAGTACTGTAGTACGTGAAAATAAGAACCGGCTAGGCTACGAGGCTAGCTTCTTAGTCTGCAGTGCGGGCATAGTTCGCAACTGCACACTCACATGTACTTCAGTGCGTTTTTTGAAATCATAAGCAATCCTGGCCATCGGGCGGCGAGTTTGCCGTCTTACCGTATGAGCTTCCTGGAAACATTCGCTGTGAACTCTAAGAAATACTCCACGTGAAAGCGCGAAAAATGACTGAAGCTGGCGAGGGTCCCTGGTTCGAGTCCTGGTGGTGACAGTCGAGTTTTTCTTCAGACTTTTCCCGTTTGTCTCTTTCCCTCAAACCAGTTAATATATACATACCGGTACACAGTCCTGCTCAATGAAATCCAGTTGCGTCGCTCAAGTTTGCGCCTTGCGCCCCTGTGCAGCCCAGTGTTGGCAGGTCAAGGGCTGCGCGACGCCCGACGCGTGCTTGGGCGACTTGAAAGACTATGGCATGGCCGGGCCAATGGAAAGCTGCTTCCACCGGTCGGATCCCGTGTGGTGAAGCGAAAGACGATTGGTGGCAAGCAGCGGTGTGATCCATAGGCAGCTTGTCAAAGTTGGGCAAATTGACAGCAGAAGTTAGTCTGTAGTGCATGGACACTACTCGGCTTGGACATGGGGAAGATGACTGGATTTCATTGAGCAGTGCTGTAGCAGGCAGCTATACCACTGCAACAGCACACTGGAACAGCTACAGGTGGAAGTGAAGGCAGCTAGTGAAGGCAAGAGGACATAACCCCCCCCAGAGTGTTCAACTCCCATTATACTGTAAAACGTGTAATTTTGGTGTAACTCAAATTTCGGTGATTTCGGTAGAGAAACCAGGCACCTAAATTTAAATTACACCTAAAAGGCACTAGAGTATGCACTGTATGTGAAGGGAACGCTGGTCACGTAATTCTGAATTACAATTCTTTGTGCCATCTTCAATAGATCCGTCAAATACAGTAGTAGTAGGTTTTTCATTTTGACCCGACGAGACCATACGACGCTTGTAGATCACAGCACGAACAGTTCACCAGCCACACTCCACGAAAGCAAGTAGTAGTACTCCTGACAAGTCTTGTTTCGTTCCATAGAGATAATAACGGGGAACTCATCAGAGGAGAAGCAGTTGTTGAATGAAGGGGTTTAGCTGAATAATGCTATTTTATAGAAAAGATATTGGCGCACTGAGGTGTAAACACTCAACTAACTCACATATGTGACATATCAACACAAAAGGAATAGTGCAGAATGGAGGTGTTCTGAACCCTACCAGACACAACTATCACAAGTGCTAAATCATTCACAATGAGAAGGAGAGGTACACAGGAATTATAGGTTGCGCTAGTTTGTGACGTCACAAACTAGCGCAACCTATAATTCCTGTGTACCTCTCCTTCTCATTGTGAATGATTTAGCACTTGTGATAGTTGTGTCTGGTAGGGTTCAGAACACCTCCATTCTGCACTATTCCTTTTGTGTTGATATGTCACATATGTGAGTTAGTTGAGTGTTTACACCTCAGTGCGCCAATATCTTTTCTATAAAATAGCATTATTCAGCTAAACCCCTTCATTCAACAACTGCTTCTCCTCTGATGAGTTCCCCGTTATTATCTCTATGGAACGAAACAAGACTTGTCAGGAGTACTACTACTTGCTTTCGTGGAGTGTGGCTGGTGAACTGTTCGTGCTGTGATCTACAAGCGTCGTATGGTCTCGTCGGGTCAAAATGAAAAACCTACTACTATTCTGAATTACACCTGAAACCTGGCAGGTCCCTAGCACCGAAATTTTAATACACCTAAAATTACATGTTTTACAGTACCCTGCTGTCCCGACAAAATTTCTTTTTAAAGCTGACGTCATTGTTTATGACGCAATGCTCCTTGCACCAGTGATTTACAACATGTGTACGGGTGTCAACGCATCACGCGTTTTTCTTTGCAGTAATTTGTACAGGATCAGATAGGCTTTGGTCCATCACAGGTTCCGGATTTGTCTGATAATCCGTGTACAGTGCGCAATTGCATCATAAGAATGACGTAAACTTGAAATTCCGTCGGGACAGCACCCATTGTCGAGTTGCACACTCTCGGGGGTTATGCACTCTTGGTGAAGGGGACAGTAGTACCGATGGGTTGAGAAATACCTGGCAGATATACTCTGCAGCTGCAGATTGGAACAACTGCAGGCGGACGTGAAGGCACAGTGTCGTTGGCGTCAGGTGGCAGATCGCCGAATACTAGTAGGTCGAGGACATCTCGACCGAACTGACAGCTCGGCGCGAGTTCTGTTGTTGCTGCAGCAGGCTGTGCAGCTTTACCATGGCAGTAGTGCAGCCATGTAGCATGGTACAACCTGGGGGTGCGTATTTGATTAGGTGACATGTACAACATTCCTGCTCCTCCGCTGGACGGCAGTAGCTGGTCACAGACTGGGCGTTCCTGTGCCCAGTGATGGCCATGATGTGTCGTTCAGGGACATTCTCCGCGTTCCGGTGACTCGCGGTGAATGCCCTCATGCAGTGGTTGGTATGCATTTTGGACGTTCCGGCATCTGCAGAGATCGTCTTCCTAATCTCACTCGACGTGTCTTTCCCAATTGGTGCCTTTGTAAACCAATACTCTTCACGGGATGAGTACTGTGCCTTCGGTCTTCGGAATAGACGGTCACACTCAGGGTGCAGTCGACTGATCAGTCTCTGCACCGAAAGGACTTGGGCCGGGTTTTGAATACGGCCGGCTGATGTGGCTATGGCGCCCAGCTGGTGGTTTTTCTGGGCAAAGCCAGTTGCCAGCTTTATATATCCTTCTCCATTGCCGCCTTTGAGGAAGACGTGATCTTGCTTCCGCATGTTGCATTGCAATTCTCAGCCGCGAATGCCGAAATGCATGGTAATGTAGCACCAAACCTGCTGTATGAGACACTTGGCATCTTTCTTGGTGTCGAAGAGATAGTTGATCTTGTTCATGTCTGTCGCCGTTAAGATATCCTTGTGGGCACTCGGGCCTATCCCACCTTCTCTCTTTAGCTTCTTGATCATTCCGTCGAAGGTGTAGTTCGCACGGCGAAACTCAATGTCTTTGAAGGCTCTCTTGTTGAGGTCCACGATGCGTTGGCGTTAAAACTCCCACTGGATATGCAAGGTATGGTAGGACTGCCATCACTGGAAATTAGTTGATCGATCGGACAAGGAAGCAGAGACACGGACAGTTTGATAACGGGACGACGAATATGACGACAGCCACTGCAGAGCTGGACCACGTACAAGAAAAATAGACTCGAGCTTAGCAAGTAGGCCTCGATGCCAGACTGTGTCGAACGCTTTTGATAGGTTCCGAGATCCTTCAGATGCCGTTGGATAGCTGCACGGAATCCTTGATACGAGTTATACTGTTGCCATTTTGCTTCCTCGTTCCGACGTAGCACGGACAAAGCGTATGGCACAGTTCATCTTTGGTGCACATTTTCACATCCGAGTTTGCCACGCTCAAGGCTCACGCCATCGCGACTCTTCAGAACGCGTCTGGCCATCTTGGCCCTTGAACAGCCGTAGCCCCAGTACACGGGCAGAGCTAGCGGGCTCAGCTGGCTTGGTTCTCAGGCCGTAACACCCTAGGGTATCAGCAACAGCCTTCGTTTGCGCCTTCAGTACATACAAATCATCGACGTAGTTTTCCACGCCACCGTGACCTCGCTTACACCACTTGACGATCACGTCCGTAAACGTGGACGCAACGCTCCAACCGAAAGCTACACGTGTCATTACATACAACTTGCCCTTCCACTTCACACGCTGATAGCGTAGCAGCTCAGGTGCCATACGTACTTGCAGGTGTGCTTTCCGTATGTCCAACATCTCGTACTCAGTGACATCATGAGTACGCCACTCGCGTACCTTTCTCGCCACACACGGAGGCATCCATACCGGGCTGAGAAACGAGGGCACGGTTCAGCGCACGGTAGTCGAGGCAAGGCCTAACAGGTGTAGTAGGCTTGTGCTCCTGGCTGACTGCAAGCCATGGCAGAATAGCAGCAGGAGCTCTCCGTGTGTCTCTTCGTCATGCTCAACGAGCCATCTAATACTGATCCAGGAAGCACCATACTGTAAATCGACAAAATTTCGGCCTATTCAAATATCGGCCTCCCAGGGCTAAAACACATTTCGGCTGCAACAAATTTTTCGGCCTGTACTGCTGCTGACTGTATACACTGTCACACTGAATCTTGCAAAACAAAATTTCAACTGCAACAGATTTTCGGCCAAACATGATGAGGCCGAAAATAGCCGAAAATAAATGTGCGTCGAATATTTGTTGACTTGCAGTATTCGACTTTCGGAGGGAGTGGGGTGTGATGTGGGTACGGGGGTGGTGGGGGGGGGGGGGGGGTGCAGAGAGAAAGGCAAGGGTGCGTGTGCCCACTAGTAGTATAATTATTCCTGCGTGGAAAAACAAGTCTTGCCGTGTTCTCCTGAATAGGCAAGTGGACTCTTGCATGCTGCACTGGGTGCTTGAGATGGATGTTCAGCGACTGTCTTGCAGTACAATGTGCAATGTGTTGTCTGAACTGTGAAGTGATGTGTTTGTAATTGGAGGGGCCAGACTGTGCCACTCATCATAGTTTTGTGTGTGTATGCGTGTGTGTGTGTGCGTTTGCGCGTGTGCGCGTGTGTGTGTGTGTGTGTGTGTGTGTGTGTGTGTGTGTGTGTGCATGTACGTGTGTGTGCATTTGTGCGTGCGTGCTCGTGTGTGTGTGTGTGTGTGTGTGTGTGTGTGTGTGTGTGTGTGTGCATACATGCATGTGAAATACATGTGGCCGGTGTACGGTGTGTGTAATATATGCAGGTTCGCATTGCGGACGGCTCTAACCCGTTCTTACTGAAAGAGGGCACGTATGAACTGTTCTGCAAGCGACACGCCACCTATAGGCGGCCACACCGCGACTTCGTGGACGAGGACTGTGCGTCCAGTTGTCAGCCCAGCTCTGCCGATTCCACGGAGACGTGCTCGTCTCCCCGGCACAGTCTACGGTCGTCGCGGCACTCGGACCACCGCTCACCTTCGCCCTCGTTTTCCACTCGCCGCAGCGCTCGCCTCTCCTCACCGCCCTCATCCCAGCACTCCGAGGACTCGTACAGTGGCGAACAACAGCGGCAGCAGACCACCAGCGGCGGCGGGCGGGGGCGCTCCAGGAGCGGCGCGCCCCGCTCACTCTCGCGCTCTGCCTCTCCCGTACTCGTCAGCGGTGGTGGCCGCGCCGCAACTAAGCGACATCACCGTTCTGCTGGTGCTGCAGTCGGCTGTGGTGGCGCACCAGCGGAGAAGTCCGGTGCAGAGTCGGCCAACGACGGCGAGCCACACTCCAAGCGCTCCTGTGGCGGTGGTGGTGGTAATGGTGGTGGTGGTGCATTGTCTGCCTCTAGCAGCGTCTCAAGCGAAACGGCGCCAGCTGACGACGACGATGACACTGGGAAAGTGCTATCCGAAGAGTCGGAGCTAGCTGCTGAGCTTGTGGCTGCTACTGCTGCTGCTGCTGCTGCTGCTGCTGCCGGCAGTAGTGGTAGTACATGTAGTAGTAGTAATAGTAGTGTTGGTGTGGAGTTGGAGCTGCGCCAAGATCACACCACTGTACAGCCTGTAAAGGTAAGTGTGTGTCAATTTTAAGTTTTAAAGCGATGTACATCGGCTTGTCTCTGTCGTGGCATGCATGCATGCTGAGATCCACACCCACGTATGCAATATGCTACACTTCTGGACAAAGAAAGAGGTCAGGAGTGAGGGGGGGGGGGGGAGGGGGGGGGGGGGGGAGCATGCTAGCATTCGTGTGTATATGTCTTTTTAGCTGTGTGTTTGCATGCATGCATGTGTGTGTGTGTGCGTATGTGCGTGTGTGTGTGTGCGTGCGTGCGTGCGTGGGTGTGTGTGTGTGTGGTGCATGGTGTGTGTGTGTGTGTGTGTGTGGTGCATGGTGTGTGTGTGTACATGTGTGTTTGGTACATGGTACATGATGTGTGTGTACATGTGCGGGGCATGTGCGCGTGGGTGTGTGTGTGCACGTGCGCATATGTCCAGACTCTGCCAGTTCTGAAGTTCAGCGTGTCTTGGCCGAGTGGCGCGCCCATCATCCAGTCATCACCTGTTCATAACATCAAGAGTCTGCAGTATCAACGTCGTCAATCCGACGTGTGTGGTGAGTTTTGTTGGGTTTTTTTTTCAAGATGCACAACTCCCCAGCAGGCACATGGGACTAGCATGGGGCTAGCATGGGACTAGCATGGGGTGAGATGGTGCTGGTGGGCCTGCCGTGCTCAACCGACCAGAGGTCTCGGCATCTTCGAATGGCAGGCGCACCAAATTGGGCGGAGAGTGTGGCAAGCACAATCTGTTGGTACTCGAAGTGTATTGAAGCCAGAGTGTTCGCATGTTAGACACTAACTATTGTTGTGAGAGTTGAATCCGTCAAGTTTTTCGGGGCACAAAGCTTAGTGTTTTAACGAGAAAGAATCCATGGTTAACTCGAGCAACGCTGCTTCATTGTAGTGTGCTGTTCCTTCTCTCTGTTGTACTAGAGAACCAGAAGACCGGTATGTGAACGGATTGTCTCTTATCCGGACTTGCACGTGCCACAGTCGTACATGCAAGTCTGTATAAGAGATAGTTCGCTTGTACACAAAAGTCGTCATAACGTCACCTTCAGCTGTCCCACAGGGTCAAGTCTCCTCATTACGCAAAAATTCACGATCCAGTTGAGACTGAGTTAGACTGCGTTTTCAGCATCCGTAGGAACGCTACCACTCTGCAAAGATCAAAGGTGCAGATGAAGCTCCTAAACCTCCTCATTACAAGTCAAAGCAAATACCCATGGACTCTGAAATTGCTCGGATGGCGCAATGATCAATATGCTCACTGCTAGCAACGTTTGAAAACACCGTTCCTAGATTTGTTTTTCTCTAGCTAGCTCGATCGATGTTTCACATTGTCTTGTACAGGGTCTGATGGAAACAAATTGTGTTCTACTAGTAGTGAGGGCCAGGGAACTACAAGTTACACTATAATGTCCACTAACACCACCAGTTACTAAACAATCAGCTCATGCGATAACATTGCACGACACTGTCCGATGTTAGCGGACATATAGTGTAACTTGTAGTTCCTTGGTCCCTTTTGCTTTTTATAAATAATCCTTGGCTCTCCATCCTAGTTCATACTAGTATTGGGTTGTCTTGTATGGGTCTGGGGAAACTGTGTTTTATAGTGGAGAAACAGTCATCATTTTCTTGTGCTGAAAATGTTGGAATCTTGCTGTTTCGTGCTCCATCGTCGAACCAGTGCCAAACTGACAGTATGTTGGGTACTGGGTACGAGTACCATTGGATTTAACGTGAACGATAAAATGCTAATCTTGTCTTTTAGTAAAGCCTGCCCTTACCGTATGCCCTTGGTGCGGCGGAAACTGTCCTGATATGACAGGATTCCACTTCGTCCAGATATGCACGATCGATCCGCAGCACTTTGGCGCATGAAAATTTGTCCGGTCCGGCCAATACAGGATTCCCCTTGGTACAGGGTCTGGTAAATTCAGGTCTTACGGAATGTTCTCTGGATGGTACTTTGTACTGAAGTGTTGTGCCGTACTTGTCCTTGTCCTGTCGCTCCTCTCTCTCTCTCTCTCTCTCTCTCTCTCTCTCTCTCTCTCTCTCTCTCTCTCTCTCTCTCTCTCTCTCTCTCTCTCTCTCTCTCTCTCTCTCTCTCTCTCTCTCTCTCTCTCTCTCTCTCTCTCTCTCTCTCTCTCTCTCTCTCTCTCTCTCTCTCTCTCTCTCTCTCGATCCCTCTCTCTCTCTGTGCCCACCTCTAGCCAAGCAAGCTGCCGACAGATCACTGCCACCAGCCACAGCCGCAGCGGCAACAGCGCCGGTGATGGTATCGGCCACACCGCCATCACCAACACCAACACCGGTCACGTGTATACCATCGTCGATACCAGCCACTAACGGCACATCGCAGGCAGCAGCAGCGGTGACGATGACGGCAGTGGTGACGGTGGCAGCACCCGTTGCTCCACCGTTGCCGCCGGTGATGCGCCAACCAGCACCGTCGTCCCTACAGCTCCAGCAATCCCATCCCCACCAACAATCTCATCCCCTTCAGCAACCTCATCCCCTTCACCACCACCACCAGCCGCAGCAGCCGCAGCAGCAGCCACAGCTCGTCCTGTTCAACTTCATGCACAACGGTGCCACGCTGCAGCAGACCCTGTCCAGGAACCCGTGGCTCTGTCCCTGGTGCTCGCGCAACTGCCGGCACGTCGCAGCTCTGACGCGTCACCTGCGTGCCTCGCATCCTCGATTCACCTTTCATTTCCAAGTAAGAGTTGCCGGACGTCTGCATGGTCAATCCTGCTGCTCTTGTCATAGGGTATATTCTGCATTGTGGATTTTGGGCACCTCACATCCTAGATTCTCGTTTCGTTTCCAAGTAGTAGTCATCAGACGTGCTTGATAGATCCTGCTATCCTTTCCATTGGGTGTCTTCTGCAGTGTGTGTATTGTTTGCTAGTGCATGGGCAGACACAAACAAACCAGAACATGCCGGACACATTCCGCTGTACACTGCAGGACTACGAGGTAGTGGTAGCGACCTCGGCGATACATTTTCTAGGGAAGTTTGTTGCTCACACACCGGAGCTCTGGATGACAGTCGCGAGTCAGTCAAGCGTCAAGTCAGGTCGGCGGGAAAAGCGCGGGCTCCAGTGTGGGAGCAAGCAGCTCACTGCAGCACTGACCGCAAAATCCGAACAGTCGGGCACGTTCTGCGCCGTCGCGTATCCAACAACCCATGAAGCCTTGCAACAGCAGTGCAGCCGAGCTCAGGGTACGAACCCCCCCCCCCCCCCCCCTTCCCCACACGCACTCTTCCAGATGTATCCCGGCTGAAAACCCGACATGCACATAGCACTACATTGTGCACTTATTTGGTTTTGCAGTTTTCCATGGCAACCAGCTACGGCAGGCAGCACACTTCCCCAACACTTGTTTTCTACTGTACTTCAGGCTTCTCACATCTTTCAAGCTCACGATGCAATTTCCAGTAGTATGTCACATTCACCGGGTTGTCATGGAAACCAGTTTTGTGAATGTGTCCACTGGAATATGTGTGTGAATTAAGGGAGAGTCCTGCAAATCTGAAACTTCATACTTACCTGGCACAGGGGACGCCGTGATCATCAAGGCGGCTCCCTCAGGATGAGGCCTCTCCACTGCACTCCGTTGGGGCTGAGGCTTGCGATTTCCCCAAACGTGGGAAACTCGGGTGCACAATTTATGGTAGAGGGGGTTTGCGTTCGCGCAGCCCCTGCTCTATAATCAATAAAAGGAAGGAAAATTCGCTATGAACATTAGGCCTAATGAACATACATGTACACACAAAGTGACAACCGCAAAATAACAGAGACCATGGCGCCTTTCTTCTCTGTTTTGGTCTCTGCAGTTTTGCTGTCATGTACCCGCTCGCAAGTTACTCTGTCTCTTACTCTTCCGCCGGCTAATAACCGCTATGGCTTGTACGCATTAAGCTTCTTAGGTGCAGATCGCTGGAATTCGCTCCCTGCTTCTGTTCGTATTTGCTCCACGCTATCAGACTTCCGCTCATCCATACAAAAACATATAGGGTACCCCGTAAGAAGGCCTTAGGCCTGTGGGAATGCCCTATTAAACAATTAATAAATAATAATAATAATAATAATGTGGCACACTGAGTTGAGTGCCTTTGATTACGCACTTGAATCGATTCATGAATCCATTCGCATGCATTCACGTTGTTCGATGTTCATGTCATCAGCCCTGGAATCGGTTTGGAATCCATTCACCCTATTCACATCTGTTGATGTTGAATCGATTCGCAAGCATAATCGAACACACTCACTACGCCGTAGCTAAGCTTTGGAGCACTATCTGTATGTAGCGAGATTCTAATGCCGATGTGTGCGTGCGTCTTCGTGTGTGTCTACGCACGTGCGTGTCCCTGTGCTCAGCTGCAAGGCGCACAGCTGACGGTGAACGTGCAGGTGAATGAGAGCTACGAGCACATGTACAGCGGTGATGCACACGATCTGTTCTGCATGTCTGCCAACCGCACTGGCTGTCCACAGCGTCGTCGTCCGCAAACCAAGTGCTGGGTTGCCAGGTTAGTTCTCACAAGAGTGCGAACTGTAAAACTGCAGTGAATGCTGTAAAACGACGAAGTTTGACAGGTAAAGCTGCAGTGTACGCCTCGTAGACTGTAAAACTGCAGTGTATACTGTAAAACCGCTAAATTTGAGAGGTAAAACTGCTAAGTTTGACAGGTAAAACTGCAGTGCATACTGTAAAACTGCTAAATCTGACAGGTAAAACTGTAGAACAGCTACATTTGACAGTTAGAACAGTTAGAGGTTTATAAACTAAAATAAATCTGCGATGAAAATGTTTAGCCATCGCCGCTTCCTGTCTCTGTTTTCAGTACTGACCAAGGGCGTGCAATTCGTGGCCAAAGAAATCCGACCCGCAAGTCAAAAGTAGCGCCGCGTTTCCACTTCAATTACATCATGCATGTTCCCAAAACTAACCCGAGGGCCACAGGGGCCGGCACGAGCCTGCTTTCGGCACGTTGGTTGGATTTCTTTGGCCACAATTGTAGTGTACGGCGTCTGCTACGGCAGCCGCAGCGTAGCCTTGCATTCCTGGCCCCCTGCAGATGGAAAGCATGCGCGGGTGATTTGTAGAAGCTTGGAAGCCCACACCAAAGCATGACGTATTGCAATGCGGTACTTTGTGCTTCATAATCTCCGGTTGCCATGGTAACTGGTACATGTATGTTGCTGCATGTCACGAACCATTGCAACTGCAATGTAATGGCACAGTGCAATGTGCCTATCAAGTAGACGTTGACCTTGCCTGCATTCTGTTCATGAACAATTGACACATATATTTCTTTTTTGTTGCCATGGCAACATGAGTATCCCGGAAGCATCGCTCTGTTCGAAAACGCTCAGGATGTTGCAAAGTACATGTATAATACTCTGAGCAGGTTTGACATCCATGCCGTAGCTGCCAATTTTATCTCTGTGAATTGTTACGTTACCATGGCAACTCGGACCTCGGTTACCCGCATTCATTTTTCTAACGATTAGTATCACTAAAGGCAACGGTAGTGGTAAATTTCTTCAATTGTGGCCCAATAGTTGAAATCTTCCCTCTCTCACAGTGACGTTTGTGGCTGGTGCCACTGAGTACCGTATATGGTCATATAATGAACTGCTGAGTCATCCTCTTCATACTTACCTTGCACGGGGGACGCCGTGATCAATGAGGCGGCTCCCCCAGGATGAGGCCCCTCCATTGCACTCAGTTGGGGCTGAGGCCTGCGGATTCCCCAAACGTGGGAAAGCCGGGTGCACAATTTCTTGTAGAGGGGGTATGCGTTCGCGCAGCCCCTGAATTATCAATGAAAGAAAGTAAAGTTGTGGTACGAGCGTATCTTGTCTTTTACAGATGACCACATTGCTGAGTTGTTTTGCCACACACTGTATAGCATGTTATGTTCGGGCTATTGCAGTAGACATTGAGGGCACCTAAATTTAACCCTTTGACTGCTGATCGCGTATCGATGAGAATTTACAGGATGTGCGTCTGTTCAAATGATCATTACTTCGTCAATTCTTAGGGGCCATCCGTAAATATAGATATTTATTTAGAAACGAAAACTAGTCGTTTAGGGGGGAGGGGGTTGAGCGCCTGTTCGTTTCTCGAAAAATATCGATGCACAGTTTGTATGTGTGGGCACGTCCAGAAAAGAAAAGAAAAAATATCGATCCTATGCATGGCTTGTATGTGTTCGTTTCTGAGGGAGGGGGGAGGGGGTTGAAGAGAAACGACTAGTTTTCGTTTCTAAATAAATATCGGTATTTACGGTTGGCCCCTTACTCGATTCTCACAATCAAAATAGCGATACGATCGGCGGTCATGGAGTTACGGCGTTCAACGGTTTCGCAAACCCAAACGCTCTCAAAGACTTTTTTGAGCAGTGCAAGACGAGAACAAGCTAAACATCACAGCGAACTAAGAATGTTAGCTATTACAAAGTGATGACGAAGGACGAAGAATCACGGCACAGGTCGGGCAACGGCTCACTTTGTCTTGAGTACGCTCACCTTCCCCTTTCTTACGTTCTTCCGTAGCTTAGAACCTTCCGAGGTGGAAGGCTGTTGGTTTGCGCATTCTAGACGTGATGTATCTAAGTATCAGGTCGTTGAATGTCAGTATCACATCACTGACATCAGGCAGTGTTGTGCTAATTATTGCACATTCTGACTCATCGATACCTTGCTTGTATTTGTTAGTGTTGGACACAAACAACGGATAAACTTGTAAACTTTTGGTCCTTCTCCTTTTTTTTCCATAGAAAGTTTCCCCAGGCATTTTGGGACTCAAATTTTCAGGATTCCGCCTGTACCGGACAGTACTGCGAGAGCGCCCCACCTTGATTTTACAGCCAGGGAAACGAAAATCGTATGCCAGAGTGCAACGAAGTTTGTACGGTGTGAGAACCTTAGTGTACTATGGTCACACTCAGGAGGTTTTGTGTGGGGCTCGGGTCCGCTCGATGATAAATTGAGTACGGATTGACTGCACAACGTGCAATGTGTACAAGGTTTGTGTCGTATGACCTACAGACAGGCCACCACCTCCCAATACGACCACGAAAGGATGAGATGGTGGGGGGGGGGGGGCGCTCTCACGGTACTTTACGCTACATGTACAGTTGCGCTCACTGAAATCCGATCCAAAGCGCAAAGATGGCGCCCTGGACCCGTTCCCATTACATCACTGTATTCGTAAATGTGTGCGTCCAGCCGCATTCGTGCCACGCCCAGGACGTCAAGGGCCGTGCAAGTTGAGAGCTCCGAATATGCACTCTGGGTCGGATTTCACCGAGCGCAACTGTTAGTCTGTAGTATGCGTCAGATGGCGTTAAACTTTTTATAGCTTTTTGAAAACAGCTGGTAGCTGAAATGCCCAGCTGTCCATTATCAGGAGTACATGAGGATTACATAAAACCCGGAGTGTGCTGGTTTTGTAGCAGCCGAATTTCTGGATTTACCTCATTCTAGGGATGCGTGTACAAGCAGGATTCAAGCAGATCCCATGCTGCTCAACTGTACATGTACCTCAGTTGTACGCACCATAGAGTGTGTGGAGTAAGGGTTTTGGCAAAGTATTTTTTTTGTCGTCCTTGAAACGAACATCGTTCATTGTGTTAGTTTTTGCCCGTAAAAAGAGGCTATTAGGGAGGTTTCGCTCTTCGGAATTACGTATGAAAATAACGTAGGAACTGCACGTAATTATTTTCATACGTAAAGATCAGTGCTATTTGGGTTTCGCTCTACGTGATTTCTCCACGACTGCTAAACATGCATTGTTGCTTCGGAGACGCGTTGGCTGCATGCGCCCACCGCATGCACCACGAACCGAAACTGCGTTTTCCATCGTATTTTGCACGTAGTGTACGGTGTGTGTACCTTGTGTTTCGCGCGACTTGAACTTTGCCGTGGATAAATCCGGAAAATGCGAAAAATATTTCAGAAAGTCCTACGGAGGCCCCAACGTAGGAAACAGCTTTCCTACGGAAATCCGTAGAGAGATTTACGTATGAAAGTTGCCCTTGCTCCCCGGCGTGTACGACATACGGATTTTCATACGTAATTACGTAGAGCGAAACCTCCCTATTAATATATCCAACAAAACGAAAACAAAAAAACATCGTTCATTTCGTATTCGAACTACCGGTACGATGTAATCCAGGCATTTTCGCCGTAACTGACACGCATGCAAAACAAGTCACAAGCTGCGCACCCTGGGTGTCATGTACATGATTGTACTCTTGCCAATATTCACCTGTTTCCATGGAAACACCGGCGTGTTAGCTGAACGAATGCATCACATCGGTGGGTCGTGCTCCAAGACCTTAAAACTGAAGAACGAAGGGTATCTGGGTCAGGACATGGTTTTTCTAAGCATGCTATATGCCACTACATTACCAAGAGGGACTACATATAGTAGTATTTTTGTTCGTTGTCAATGGTGATGTTGCCATGGCAACTCGGCGGGTAGCAGCGCAGGCACTTCTGAGAACTCGTATTGCAAAAAGGTGTATGTGTGCATATAGTGGTTAATTGTGTCCATGTTTGGCCCAATAGTTGAATTCTTCCCTCACTCTCTGTGAGGTTTACGACTGCTGCCACTGACGACCGGACATGCCCATATATGTACACTACTACTTGACACACTTCATACTTACCTTGCACGGGGGACGCCGTGATCAACAAGGCGGCTCCCCCAGGATGAGGCCCCTCCATTGCACTCAGTTGGGGCTGAGGCCTGCGGATTCCCCAAACGTGGGAACGCCGGGTGCACAATTTCTTGTAGAGGGGGTATGCGTTCGCGCAGCCCCTGAATTATCAATGAAAGAAAGTAAAGTTGTGGTACGAGTGTATCTTGTCTCTTACAGGACAGTCTGATGACCACATTGCTGAGTTGTTTTGGTACACATTGTGTTGCATGTTATATTCCGGCTGTTGCGGTAGAGATTGAAGCCACTTAAATTTAACCCTTTGACTGCTGATCTCGTATCGATGAGAATTTACAGGATGTGTACAAGATTTGAGTGCTCGCGTTCTTGGGCTTCACGTACGGCAAAGTGTAGATGTTCTGCTCTCTGTCACAGGTTCACGCAAAGAATTCACGTGACATGTGTACTGGGAATTTCCCGTTCCAAATTTGGCAGAATTCTGACGATCCCCTCGCGAATTTATGGACGATTCGCGGTAGATCTGTGCGCGCATTCTTTGCGTGTGCCACACACAGCATAGGCATCTTTGTTTTCTTGTAGAGATCTGGACCCAAAACACGCCAAGTCGTGGACTCTAACCCGGACATGATCTTTACGTGACTTCTCTACGCTTCACATAGCATGAACATTCAGGGAGGAGAAAGATTATCACTCAGTTGTCATATGATTTGGCATGACTTGGACGGTACAACTCTCTTTAAAGTCCTAGATCAAGGTGCACTCGTATCAATATCCATGTAATTCTAAAGCAAACCTCTTGACCCCTTCCCTCATGGTAGGGAGTTCAGTTCCGGTCA